AGAGAGATTGGAAACAGATCCCACACCATGACACCATCCAGTTTCAGTTTCAGTTCTACAGAGTACAAAGTCCAGTTTTTGTAAATTATCCTAAATTATATACAATAATATAATATAATCCAGATTTCTTTTAAACATTATTTATTAAAATTACAAATACACATATTAATTTTAAATTTTGCCATTTCTTCTGAAACTGGACGGAATCTATGCTCGGCTGGGAGGCCCTCCATTAATCCCAACTCTCCTGCAAATCAACACAAACAATTTTATAATATAATATATATCTATGCAGCAAAAACTTCATAACATTAATATATATATATATATATATATAGTAGAGACCTGAATTTTAATACAGGAGCAACAGTAGCTGTAGCATGCATGATTATTTTTCAGAAAAAGAAAATAGTAGCATGCATGATAAATATCTTTGTTAAAAGAAGTTTGAACTCAAAAAGCTTAAACTAATTATAAATTTACCGTAAATATTTCATATTATATTTCTAATTTCTATACTTGTAAATTTAATTTGAAATTTAGCACAAAATCTTACAAATTAGAAGAAGAAATGATATATTATAGAAATTCGAGCACATGACTTCTTATTATTCTGATACTAATCTTAAATTATGGTGGACGTGGAACCTAAAAACTTAAATTTGAAAGAGATAAAATTTACCTGTTATGAATAGGGTCGGGCCCTTTAGGAACTCTCACTTTGCTCATGAAGTTGAGATCCAAATCTTGATGGTTGTTGTTGGGCAGTACCTTCACTTGCTTCACATGGCTTCCCACGGTTGCCAATAGCCCGTTGGTTGTTTCCACGGCCGGCCGTTCTCGACTCTCCGGCAAGCCCACCATTAAAATCCATAAGAAAAGCCCCACAACCAAAGCTTGAAGCAAGAACTTCAAGTAAGAAAACAAGCACAAATTACCTTCACTTCTCATGAGTATACTATATATATATATATATATATAGTATCGTCGTTTGTGTATGTCGAGAGAGATTAGTTGTTCTCACGACTCGAAAGAAGAATGATAGTTGGGTCGATGAATGTATCTTTTATCTCCTCCGACCTCAAGGAAAAGAGAAGTTGGGGGTTAATAAGTGAGGAGCATGGGAGAGGGAGATGATTTTGAGAGGCAAGAGTTTGGTTATTGGTTTGTTTTTGTTCGGTAGAAGTAGAAGTATAGAAGAAGGGTTGCATGATTAATTAGGGAGTTTGTTTGTTTTATCTTTATAGGGTTATTGGTGGATTCTGTTGCACTTTTCTAAAACCTTGCTTTGCCTGTTTGTTTTTTGTTTGACACACACACCTGTTCCATTCTAATATATCACATTTGATTCATTTCATTTTTAAAAAAATTTGTGTATTAATTTAATTTTACGTATGATATTGTATTAACATTTATACTTGTGCGAAGAAAGAGAGGCGTTTTAAAAACTATGAGTCAAATAACTTTTAAAAGATTAAAGTGATATTTGTCGTAGTATTGGAACAACAACTACTTCCATTCTTTTTTTTAAAGGAGATTATTCTTAAAATAAATTGTAAAAAGAAATGTTTTTTTTTTTAAAAAAATAACTCGGGATACCACTATTTACGTTTTATTTAGGCTTTAAATTCTCCGTGCCTTTGTCTAGAAAGAAAAAAAGAAAAAAAAAGTATTTGTTTTTCTAAAAAATTAAAAAGAAAAATCTAAAAACATTCTCTATCTTTTCCACCTACCAATTCTATTCAATACCGTACGTTTAGTTTTAGTCATACCAAAAACAACAAAAAAAAAATAACATTAAATTTTTTACATAAATTTCAAATCACATCTGCCAATCAACATGCTCATTGGTGTTACAAATATACAATTTATAAACATAATTAATCAACATGAATTCATGTGCTAGAGAGAATTATGTTTTTTACATATAATTCTAGAAGATGGTTCTTTTTTCAATAGAGTTTTGGGTGTTTATTTTTTTTTTTTTCAGAAGAG